TCTCGACGAGTACCACTACGGCTCGAAACTCTCGCTCGGCTGTTTCTATCTTATCAACCTTGCTCGCTCCGGTCTCTTTGACCCGGATACTTCAAGACAACCGTTCCTGTCTCCTTTCAATCAGTAATCAACGGTCCCTTCACCCTTTCAACTCACCCAGTTCTACATAGCGTCCTATCGTCGCCGCTGTATCGCTATCTCTTTGATCTATTCTTCTCTAATCCCTCGCTTCGCGATGTTGACGGACGATCCCTCCTCAAAGAAACCGTCTACCGAGACATCTGGAAATAAAACCGAGACCGATACGCCAACAGCGGTCTCACTGAAGTCCGCAGTTGCAAGGCTGCCGGTCCTACAATCCCCTGGACCGGACTCCAACTTCCTTGACTGGGAACTCGTGATCACTGCATATTTCGATTCCGTGGGCATTGACTACGTAATTGATAAGCCTCTGCCCGATCATCCGACGGCTGCGTGGACGGCCGACAACAAGACCGTTTGCGCAATCCTTACGCAAACGATCGATTCCTCTAACCTCATCGCGATTCGTCCTTACAAGCGAAACACATACGGAATGTGGGGAGCGATCGTCCGCGCTCATCAAGACTCCTCGACTGGGGGCCGCGTTTACTGGCTCCGAAAGCTGCTGTTGACTAAGATGGAGGGTGATGATGTTCTTTCCCACATCAACACTATGGCAAAGGCGTACGACCGCCTCAACTCTCTTGTCACCACCGACAAACCGCTTACCGTCACCAATGTTCACTCAGCTGCTTTGCTCAGTTCCATCCCAGACGACTGGATGGGCTGTGTCTCTCACCTCATGAATCAAGAGGGTGTCAGCACAGAATCTATTGTTTTGGCTCTGAAAAATGAGCATACTCGACGACATTCTCAAAACGAAGTTGCAGTATCTGTCTCCTCCACTAAGACCAAGTCTCATACCGGTAAGCGACCTGGAAATCAAAACAAGAAGCCTCGCCACTGCGATTTCTGCAATGCAGATGGCCACGACCTCAACAACTGCAACAATACGCGTCGCATCCTCGACGAGCATAAAGCCAGCCAGAAGGCCCGGACTGACTCTAAAGATCAGGATCGAAAGCCAAATCAGTCAAGTAAACCAGCAGCTCGAGCCGGCCGCACCTTGGCTGTAACTCTTGGTGGATCGTCTCATGCCTACGATGAAGATGACGAGTCAGACTACTCCGGTTCCGAGATTGAAATCACTGCGGGGAACGCGGTTGCTTCTTTATCTGTCTCAAACATCTACTCCGGTACTGGGGACGCGAACCTAGACTCTGGATGTTCCATGTCAATGACCCCGGATATCCTCTCAGTCGAAAACCCAAAAACCGACTGCACACCTGTCCGCTTGGCTGATCATTCAGTGGTGGAAGCGACCCACAGAGGCATCTCCAGGCTCCCCATAGATGGAGAAACCAAAGTCAAGACTCTCGTGGTCCCTTCTCTTCACGAACCTCTCTTATCCGTGGCAGCTCTCTGTGATGCAGGTCTTACAGTCGTATTCAACAAGGCGTCCTGCGATATTTTCAAATCTAACGACACCAAAATAGAAGGAGATCCAGCTGGAAGAGGTTACAGACGGGGAAACCTCTATTATCTTCCTTCGGACCCTGTGAGGTCTTGCTCTTCTCTATCTCTATCACCCCTTCCCCCTGATCACTCTCTCCTCGGCTATCACCAAAGATTCTCTCATATTGGTCTTAAGCCACTCAAAGCGTTGCTGAAGTCTAACAAAATTGTACCCTCAGTGATGAATGAAATCGAAGTCCAACGGTGCCCGACGTGTGTCCAAGCAAAAATGCCCCGCAAAGCTTTCAAATCCCGCGCGGCCCATCGGTCCTCAAAGCCCGGTCAACTTATTCACTCCGACGTGGCATCATACGAGGTGGTTTCTAGGGAAGGTTATAAATATTTCATCACTTTTGTCGACGATTGTTCCAAGTTTCTCTATGTCTTCCCCATGAAATTAAAAAGCGACTCTTTCGCATGTTTCAAGATTTTTCGTGCATTCTTTGAGAAAAGTGGCTCCCACACTATAATTGCTCTCCGAACCGACAATGGAGGGGAGTATCTATCAAATGAGTTCTCTTCCTACCTTGCTTCATCTGGGATCAGACATGAGCCAGGCCCACCTCATTCGCCGCAGTTAAATGGTGTCGCCGAGAGAACAAACAGGACAATCAAGAATCTGGTCAGAGCTTCGCTAATTCAGGCCAACCTACCCAAATCCTTTTGGACAGATGCACTCCGACACTCAATGTTTCCCTTCAACTCGTTCCCTTGTCACACTCCTTTGGGTTTCAAATCCCCCTCATCAATTTTGCAGGAACACTCGGTTGACCTCAAATCAATCCATCCCTTTGGCTGTTTGGTCTGGTACAAGATCCCTGAAGCCAATAGTAAATCTCTTGACATCAAAGGACGTGCATCTCTGCTTCTCTCCTACTTACCAGATGGAAACGGTTTCCGCCTTTGGGATCTTGAAAAGCGTTCTGTTGTCAAGTCCCGCGATGTACTTTTTGAAGACACAACATTCCCCTATGGCGCTAAGCTCAAACAAACTCCCGAACCAGTTTCAATTGAAATAGCCTGGCCCAAACCATCAAATGACACTCCTGAAGACACTCACCATCCTCAAAGAACTGAGACACCTTCAACCACTCCACCTATTGACAATGATGCACCTCTGGATATTCCTCTCGCACCTCGCTTTGACAGGAGACTAGCAGCATCCATCCATGCTCCTCATAATCGTCCCCGGGATCCTCTCCCCATCTCTTCTGACTCAGATTCTGACTCTTCTCACAACCCTATTCCTATCTCCCCTGTCTCAAGTTCCGACTCAAATTACAACACACCCGCTCCGTCTCCATCAACCACGTCACCAGATGTTACAGTAATTTCTCTCCCTCCTCTCCCTCCCTCTCCCCCTCCCCCCCCAGTGCCCCCTACCCCATCCTCCCAATCAACTCCACCTCGATCCCCACCGGCCAAGGCCCCATTGCCAACACCTTCCCCACCTCCTATCCGACGACGCTCCAACCGTGATCGGCGTGCTCCCGACCGCTATGGTCAATGGTCCAAGAACGCTTCCACAGACTGTGATGTAGACACCCCAAAAACTTGGCGCCAGCTTCTCAAATCCCCTAACAAACGTTGTTGGCTTAAGGCGGCGGATGAGGAATTTGCCTCTCTTCTTGGAATGCAGACTTGGAAGCTCGTCCCACGTCCGGAAAAGAGGAAGGTTATAAAATCTAAATAGGTATTCAAAGTGAAACGCCGTCCTGACCGCACTATTCAGAAGTTAAAGGCACGACTTGTAGATATGGGCTATTCTAAAGTACACGGTCTCGATTACGATGAAGTATTTTCTCCGACACTCCGACTGGAAACGCTTTGCCTGATACTCAGTCTTCTTGCCTGCCGCAGTTGGACGGGATGTCAAGTTGATTTCAAAACAGCTTTTCTGAATGGACACTTGGACAAACCAATCTACATGGAACAGCCCCCTGGTTTTGAAGATCCTCAACATCCGGATTGGGTCTGTGAGGTTAATCGGTCTCTGTACGG